AAGATAACCGTGTTGAACTATATGTTGGGCCGAACAATAGAAGTTCATCGCCCAACCTTTTCAATAATGTTTTATTTTCGCAAAAATACGAATGTCATATCTCAAGGAGCAAAAACTCCCGTGGAGTGTAATTATTATTGCACTCCATTACTGCCTGCCCTTGGCTTAGAACCGCGTCTAAACCTCCTAGCCTCCTAGCTCCTTCCTAGCCCTCCCGTTCCTAGCAGTCATTGTGAATCAGACATGTCCTTCCGGCAAATCTTCATTGTTACCGAACTAAATCCCCACCCAGCTTGATCACTATATAAGCCGTATGCATGAAATTTTCTTTCACTTTTCATTAATACATTGGCCCGTGGCAATAGACCCGCATACCGAACTTGGAATTACATATGTTATGCTCCATAACCATAGGAAATATCGATAGCTTTGAGATTTCAACGTGACAAAAATGCTGTCTACTCAGTGAGGAACTCAGAGGGGAAATATTATAAACTGCGTCACGCCAAAACTGTATCTATTGCATACGGCTCAGGGTTGAGGGTCAAATAAAAATCTAACTAGTGCCACATAATAAGCAATATCGCATATGATAAGCCGCAGGTAGGTAGTATTTTGCACACTGCAGAAAGATAAGGGCAAACTACGATATCCAATGTATGACTAATGCTCCAATTTGTCTGTTTTCAATTATTCTTCGCAGCGAAAGCAGCCTGAGGTATTACTAGGTTGGCTTACATGATTAATTATAAATCTCAAACACGATATTGTATTGATGCGCTTGTAAATTTTCCTCAACAGCATCATGTAGCCTATTTAAGTTAAAATTGCAACAATAATCTGTCCGACCTTAATTTCAAAAAAAGGAAGTTTAAGACAAAACTTATTGCCGCACAAAAATTAGTCTGAGAGTGTTTTTCTTTCGATTCTACATTAGTTCATGCAATTATCTGAATATCAAATAAGCGATGACTTGAAACTGTAGTGAGCTAATGAGTCAGATGTGAATTCAAACGCATTTTTGAAAAAATAGAATGGTGATGATTACCTGACCGTCGGGCCACTTTTAGATTTGACCAAAAGTACTGGATTTTACGTTGGTTAATTTCGGTTCCCATTTTATTTTCATACCAAAAATGGAACAGAGTACCTATAAGAACTATCTTTTCCAAGGATTGCTTAGAAACCACTATCGTTTTTTTATAATTCGTACGTTACTAAGATTATTTGTTTTATTTTCAACATTTCACATATTTCCATACCTTTCCTATCAAATATTTTGATTTTATAATTTACATCTAAGTTGATTTAAAAGAGAAATGCGGATAAATTAAGTCTTGTGTTGTTTTCTCTGTTAGGATGATACCAAAAATGTTATCACTGACACCGAACTATGTGCGTCTTCGGCAGCAGATAAATGATATAAGTCAGATTATGGTGGGTTAAAAATTTCACTTTCTTCGCTCACACTAATCAATGACGAATCGATCTAAAAATTCGCCGATTTTTATCTCGGCGATGATTAAATATTCGTCCGTTCGCGGCTTTCTGTCCTGGAATCCCAAATATGGTCTCACAACATCGCTGCAAGGATGCAGCTCCAACAGCCTTCCAAATATTGTCAAAAAGTTGATGATGTCTACAACGTTGCACTGTTTAGCAAGAAATATAGGGATAATTTCTCATTCTTCCGGCTCATTTTTAATTTGAGACTTTATTTTACACACAAACGCATCGCAGTCGGGAAATCTCACAAGATAAAACTCGCTTAAAAGATGTGCATTAAGCCATGCGCAATGGTTCGCCTTCAATAACCGTGATGACAATATGAGCGACTTGGAAGCGCAAATACATGCGCGCAGTACCTTTTTCACTTCTGCACAATTCCTTCAAAGAGCACAAATTGATTAGTCAATATCAAAGATGTTGTTATACGGAGGAATACATTTGAACCAATGTCTGATTGGCTCTTAGAAAGAAAAGCGCGGAAAAATTGACTGGGATGCGGCCAAAATATAAGAGACATATGTCCGCTCAAAAAATCTTCATAACATTCGCACCACCCCTCGCGCCCTGCGCCCATTTATTAAACGGGAAAAATCACCGATATAATCACATCGAACTCCAATAAGGTGTAAAAATTCAAACCTTCCAGATCTATTCTATATCTATTTCTTCTTCTATTCTGGGGTTACGGTGATCATCGATGAATGCGTGATCAGTCAACTCAACTCGCGTTTATCTCAGGTATAAACTATGTCGCAGGCAAATAGTGGAATCAGACATTTTGTCAAATGCCTAGGCAGATAGTTAAATTTTGACGGTTTACACAATTGTGTGAATTCATAGCGATTGTCTCGCTAGTTTTCAATATTTATGGAAAAATAACTCATCAAACCTACGAACTCTTTTATTCCATACCTCTCAAATTTGTTCTCATATTTATTAATGTTCAAATTCTAAAAAATCTGCATTTTATGACATGCTTAAAATTTCAAGATGAGTGTCTGTTCAGGAGCTACAAATCGTTTAAAATACTATTACGTGTTGCAAATTTTTACCGTTAATTTTGTCTTACAAGAGCAATTTAACAATTTGTCTTAAATTAGGATAAGAATCAGAATATCAATCTAAGTTAGAATATTTTACTATTTGCCTAGGCATTTGACAAAATGCTTGATTTTACTATTCGCCTGTGACTTATACATATACATTCCAGTAATGAACAAATACAATATAAATCTAATCCTAATTGCAGCATCCGAAATACTTTGAATACTTATGTGAGCATGCTTGAGTACTGAGTAGCTCCAAAAATTAAAGATAAACATCGACAACGCGTTTTGATGTGATTTGAGTGCAAAATGTTTTGTCATCGGCCGGTTCCTTATGCATGAGTTTAAGGCAATAAACTTCCATCGGCTGCCTTTGCGCAATCAGATTTCAACGACCTTTTTCGTCGCTGTACAAAAAAATGATTCTGCGTCTCGAGAACGCAGTTACATGCTCAATACACCAAGCAAATCATATGGTGACGGCACTCATTGCACTAAGCCTTCCTCATCAATACGCGGTACAATTTTATTGAGAGTGGAAAAAAGAAACTTTTTAAAAAAATATCTTTTTCCTAATCGATTTTTTGTATTTTTTTCACATGTTTTCAAACTTCACTTTTCTATCGTCACTGCATAAATTTGCATTCCATGATCTGAATTCATTAGTTGCAGTTACTCATTGCGGGGCCAATAAGAGAAATCTTTATCACGAGGAAAAAATTTCCTTGGCTGCATCTCGTTACACTGAGGAAAATAATTATTTTTTCGGGAGAGCAACAAAAAAAAGCCTCATAAATTTCACATTCGTGCCTTTTTGCTGATTTTTTTTTATTTCTGGTTGAAATTTTCAATTCGATTCTGCTCATTTTGTACGATAAGTACAAATTTCCCCATAACACAGTTTTAATGTCATGCGTAGGATTGTACGTAAAATTTTCCTTGAACCTTCACAAAAACTCCCCACAATGACGTCACGACTGCATATGACCTGCGACAGAATGACGTCAGACCTGAAAAGTTGGTAACCTGTAGATCGCGGGGGAATTCTCAGAGAGGTACGAAATTAATAGGGGAGAACCGAACGCGACCGTGCTAAGGAAGAACACCGTACGAACCCTCAGACGTTACCAAATTTCCTTTGTTAAGATACGAATTTGTAGGGAAATCTGTAAACATTTTTCCTCGAACTTTTTTGAGAATTTTATCAACAATCAGATCTGAATTATCTGAAAATCTCAAGAAAAACTTTCTGTAACTCTTCTTACGATTAAACACTCTACTGGAGGAAATTTTCATTTTTGGCGAGAATTATGAATACCTTCTTTTGAAATTTTCAGAAATTTTGAATCCGATTGTGAATTGAACGGTCTAAAAAAAATTATTGGGAGAATATTCGCATCCTTCCCCGAAAATTTGCATTTTACGACAGAAAATTTGGCAACGTCTGAAGGTCCATACGGCGTTTTTTCACAGCGCAGCAGCGGCACCGAGGGAGAGGCGTCGAAACGGGGAGAAAACCCGGACGGCCGGCCGAGAGAAAAACCCCGGGACGCGAGACGGCGGGAAAAGGGGGGCCTCGGGNGGGGGGGGGGGGGAGGGGGAGGAGCAAGGGGAGAGAGAAGCGGAACAGCTTTCGGTGAGCACCATATCCCTCCTCCGTCTCTGGAGCAGCTATATCGGCATTGCAGAGAAGTTGATGCGATTTGACTCGTACTCCCGGCTCGGCTGGCCGGCTCAGTAAGTTGTCGGTCCGGTGTCCACGAAGGAGCCCTCCACGCTCACGTCCCCGGATTCCGTGCGCGATCCCACGTGTCAGACGCCGCGGAATTTTCACTCTCTCGCGATTCTACCCCGCCGATCGGATACCTCCTTTGAAGCTTCTCGGCGTCTCTCAGTTTCTACTCTGGATTTTCATTACACCCCCACTTCTGTTTCGTTTTCCACGTGAGTGCATCTCCGAAAAAAAGTGCGAGTGTTACAAAATTACCGGTAATTTTGCGAAATTATCCCATCAGATTTTTCGCGCGTGTTACTCACAAATTACAACAATATCCCATTGGATTACTAAGTTGAAACTTTCCTCCTCGGAAACTATCTGATGAACGAATTTTAATAGTGTGCGAAGTTTGTGCATTTGCTGAATTGTGCTCGAATATTTTTTTCGGCTTCTAATTTCTCCGTCGCGGTAGAGTGATGTTTTTCTCTTATGTGAAAGACTGAGTCCTACAACGAGCTACGTGATTAAATACTAGCAACCAGTGATTTTAATGCATTTACTACAGAAAGTTCCTCCGAGTGTCACGACCAAGGAAAATAGTGGATCTCATAATAAACTTTCCGGTTAAAGGTCAAATCGAGACTTGAATTTGAAATTTGAAATAACAAAATAAATTTTTAATAATAAGTAAAAATTGGCGAATGTATACTCGCCAAAGCTAGTTTCAGTGCGTAAATTTGTATTTCTTTCGGAACAATGTGAATGATTGCAAACTATTCTCTACGGCATGAGTGGGGACGAACAGGGGCCTCTTTGAAGGAGGATCAATTTCTAAACAGATAAGTTTTCTTCGAAGAAATAAATGCGGATTAAGTTCAGCGCCGAAATGAACCGAATCCCGACAGTTTGCGTGAAGACACTCGTATGCCTCTTCGTGCTCGTCCAGTGCACGGGTTGCAGCCACCTAGCGAAGATATACTCGCGGCTGAACCACGAACATCGGCACGAAGACGATAGTGATAAGTACAACTACCCGCTAGATAAATTAATGAATAGGTTAGGTCACAATAGCAGTAAGGACGCGCGCACGCCTAGTAACTTAATAGACACGAGTATGGATAGGTACAGTAGGAAAAGCGCGGCGGAGACTTCGACGTGGAGCCCGGCGTCGGCGGGCGGAAACGCGCTGTGGAAAAGGCGATCGGTGTCCGGCGGGGCGCAAAAGCCGCGAGTGACCCGCGAGGAGACGAAGGACTCGCGGAGGAGGAAGCTGGAAGGGAGCCTGGAGAGGCGGCTCTACGAGGACAGCGACGAAGACGAGGAGGACGAGGATGAGCCCATCGAGGAGGAGATGGAGGCCAGAGAGTATCAGGATTTGGATCCCTTCTCCTACGACGCTGACCACAGGAACGTCCGCCACGGTGCCTCCTACATGGTGAGTTTCATCCAGGGATTTGTATACAGTGCGGAATACCATCAGAGCAAAACGACAGTGAAACTCCTAAACCACTTATCGACGGTGAAACTACCAAACCACGTATCTCGTTTGCGGTGTTTAAAAATCTACGCTCACATTTTATTTTTTTGAAGTAGACCAAATCATTATCATTCCTTGAAATTTTCACAGAATTTTCTCCGCACGAGGAGGAAAAATCGCAGAAATTTTCAAGACTGGACGTTAAGTAGTTTTTCATTTAAAAAATAAAGTATGACAGGAAGTCTGCGACGTCGCAAACCGAGATACGTGGTTTGGTAGTTTCACCGTCGTTATGTCGATTTGCAACATCGCCAATTTCCTGACTTGTTGTAATTTCCGAATCGAAAACTACATAACGATAATTCTTCTAGACTTCCGTAATTTTTCCTCTCTGTGCGAAGAAAATTCTGTGGAAACTAAGTACTATGAAAGGAAAAAAAAAAGTTGCTGAAGTAACATCCTGGATGTTTAAAATCTTTGCGGAAATTCTTGAATGTTGTTTCGGACACTTCGGCTGTTAAAATAACATCCCAGTCAAGTTGAACTAACGACCGTAGCGTTCATATCAACATTCAAGAGTTTTCGCACAGATTTTAAACATCCAGAATGTTACTTCAGCAAATTTTTTTTTCGGTGATGTCTATTTGGTCTCCTTTAAAGAAAGGAAGTAGGAGCTAAGATTCTGAAACAACGTAAATGAAATAGTATGCGGACTTACATTGTAGAAAAGCGGCTTTCCAGCTGAATTCTGTCGCAGCAAAAAAGAAGGTGCCCAAGCAGCACAGCACAACACGAATATTAATAAAATAATAATGTAATTAAATGCAATAAAATTGTCATTTTTACTATGATAACGCGATTTTTTCCCCGCACCGGTGATGAATAACCACAACGGTGGCAAAAATATCAAATTACGAACCTCTAATACGGTAAATTTTTCGGTCGGGAAATAAATGTTTCTCTTCGCTCATTTTTTCATGAAAATACTGTTCGACTTTTATGCGCTGAATTTGAGAAAATGTCTTCCAAAAACGAAGAAAAACAAACGATATATTGAGAAAAACGGCCTCCTTTGTTAAGTTAGATGTGACAGAAGGGTTGTCATGTCGCAAATCGAGATATGTGGTTTGGTAATTTCACCCTCACCATCGAACTGTTCCCTGTTCCCTTATTTTTTGAGCCAATAATAGATGCGCGAAAGGAGGCGCAGTTCATCACAGCACCTTGATACAACTATTCGTGCTCTATGGACACGCGTGTTGCATGAAAAAAATTGAAGGCGCGCTGCTTTTCCTTGCGCTCTTCGGTTTTGCGTAAGGAAGTGCTTGACCATATTATTAAAATTAACGGTTAGATTTTTTAATTATTAAGTTATGAGGTTTTAATGTTTAGATCGAAAGAAAAACCCTATAAATGCTTTTTTAAAACAAAATTCTTAGTTACCTTTTTGCATAAAAATCTTAGTTTCGAAATATCGTTGTGGTTGATTAATCGTTTTCATGAAAATGTCACGTTTGGCCTCTTACGCTGATAAATTTTGATGATTGGACCGGGAAAAATCGCAAAAAGTAAAGTGTGACGTAACCGATTTGTTTTCCACGTACTTTTCGTTTACAGTCAGTTGTTCCGCACTCTTCAATTTAATTCAATCCGTTTTTATGCTATCGCTTTTATGCATCACTCTAAAAAAAGACCTCAACATACCGCGATTTTTTGCCGTTACCGTACTAATGTTAGGAACTACGGTAAACTATTATAGTAGTATACATCTCGAGAACATTTGGAGTGAAATGCGTTTAGGATATCATTCCAAGATATATATGAGTGTCCTTAATAAAATTGTGAAAAATGATACACAAGAATAGCCTGAATAATTTCACGAAACAAAACACAAGAAAATGGGGCACTAAAGGCTGAAAATTTTAAGAAAATTATGTTTGTTAACAATTAGAATTCCTTGGACGTTTAGGGGTTGTTTTGACACCTCCTCCACTTTGGAAACATTATTTTTATACATTTTTTTCTATATATTTCTTTCCCGGTCGTGAAGAGGGTTGAAACTACCCCTAAACGTCCAAGGAATTCTGATTGTTAAAAAACATAATTTTCTTAAAATTTTTAGCCTTTAGTGCCCCATTTTCTTGTGTTTTGTTTCGTGAAATTATTCAGGCTGTCGTGGAGAGGGTTGAAACCACCCCAAAACTTCAGATGAATTTTGTTCGTCTTAGCCGTGGTTCCAAATTTTTTTGTGTTACTTTCCTTAATTGCAAACAACCAACTGATTTTTCAATCAACATAATCAAAAGTAATCCCGCATTTTTCCAACTCATTTGTTGAGAATATTTACTTATACCGGACCTCAGCCATTTGGAAAATACACCAAGTTAATGGTGTAATCATTGAGTCTTCGCGGTTCAACCAGGCTTGCCTCGGAAGATAATTTCCTGTCCTCTTCGTTATGTGTAAATAAAGAGAAGACTAATATCCATTGGTAATTGGATGTGATGCACAGCTTGGTTATCCGCACTCTGAAAGACAGGCTATACGGTTTCATATCGGGCCCTGCTTAGCATTACCTCAGAGGCAATGATGTCTTTGATTAATGACTCAACTTTCGCGCGAGAGAACTTTGAAACTTGGGCCGTGATAAATTTGAGGACTCGTCAGAGAAGCGCTAACTGTCCAAGTTCCAGAGGCTCACTATCCCTCGCAATTTGTCGGAGTTTCCTCTCTTTACTGTTTTTAATCTCGCGTTGCAAGAATTACTTTTTATTTTTAATCTTTACGGGCTCCCTTTACACAGTTGCCGAGTCCCTTTGTTTTATTTTGAACTAACAATTAATTTCCGCGGGAATTAGGCCAGAAGCTTTCGAGATTTTCGCTCATTGCCGTACCCATAGCCCCAAACACAGAAGTAATAATTATGTCATTCCAAGAGGTTCCTTCATCAAAATTTAACAAAGCACAAGGTGAATGTGTTGAAAAATACCGAATCAACTCATAAGTAAGAAGTTACAGGCTACGGCTAGTTTACACTAGAATCAGTCAGTTAAAAATTTGGAATGAGAAAGAAACTGCAATTTAAAGTGCAATTTGAACTATGAGAATTGAAAATAAATTAAAATGAAATGACAACAGAAGTTTTCTCTTTCTGTGATCCACCTTAGCTGTAGATTTAGTCTTAAAAATCAGCTTCAAGTCAAAATAATATCTCAAGAAAAAATGTTTTCGGTGTAGTCTACATTGGCTCATCACATCGAGAAATCCGGATCTACGAAGAGAAAAGTAGTCAGCTTTCCTTAGCAGTCTCTGATCGAGTTCAGTAAAATACTCATTGCATCCAGGGGGCGATTCAACATACCGGGTGAAATTTTAATCGCGACAACGAAAGTCACCAGATTGTGAAAAAACTCTCTACCACTCCCACTCCCACTCTTAACCAATAACTTATTTTCCCAGCGAGAAGACTTTCATTGTCGCGTCCAAAATTTGACCAGGCGCAAAACCTATTTTTACGCAACAATCGGTTTTCTTAACGCAATCAGAAACTGCCGGGGGAAGCAATCTGTTTTCTTACGTTAATGAGCCCGATTTTTCTCCGAAAGCATTCGCGACGACCTTTGAGTTATCATAAAATCGTAAAAAAATCGTCTCGAAATTAAGTACAGCATCATTAATGGAAATTAATCAATTATTCAAGGCGTTTTATGACCGATTTCGCGTTCGAGAACATGGATCTTGGTTCGAAAGAAACCCCAGAGCGCATATCACTCTCTGCAAGGACAGCATGATGCGATCGCTCAGCTTGTCTCAAGATCCATCCTGCATGGATGCGAAAGTCGTCAAAGCACTCCCTGAATAGGTCGTATAATTTTTCACGGCAATGTTGAAAACGTCCAACCTTTGCCTTTGGTCACGCCTCTTGCCCAGGTTCAAAAGTTTAATCTCTATCCTACTCTTTAGTTGGCTTTTTGTGAACAATATTTCACTCGTAGAATCACCTTCGTTTGAATGACTCAATTACTCTTGATGTGGAACGCAGAGGTTTTCAATTGATGTGACCACACTTCTCGATAACGCCGATGTCTTGGCACGAGTCTACCTCAAAAAACACCTGACCTCTCCGGAGCGCAGGCCTTTAAGTTATCGTTGCGTAACTGCGATAGACCAATCCGATATCTTTTTTGGCAGACGAACATAGGTTCCGACAAATTGAATTAAATGTACTATTGTTGTAAGCTCATTCTAACTGAATGGGCTATCATTCTCTAGAGGTTGCTCGAGTCCGTTTGCCCTCTTTCTGTTGCCCACGTTTGATTGAGAAATTGCTCGCAGTCCTCAAAAAGTAGTGAAGAGAGTGCCATGTAGAGGAGTCTCACGAAATATTTTCCCCAATTCTTAAAAAAATAAGGTGATTTCGATGTGCACGAGGAAGATGTGGAAAGTGTAGAGTATAGTTAGTTAGTTAGTTAGTTAGTATATTTCAAGACGTTCAGCGTCACAGGCTATTAACATCTTTACAGAGAATTTTGAAAATGGGAATATATACGAGAATTTAGATTTTTAAATTAAGAGAGGTGAAGAGTTTCAGAATTTTGGTAGTAATATTGGGTTCAGCGCATGTAAGTGGGTGGACAAATGTATACTTTTGTGTTTGCGTTATAAACCTGTATACATGCAGAACTACACTGAAAAAAATTCTTGTGATATTATTTTGACTCATAGCGTCATTTCTTGTCGACAAAATCTGTCTTTTTTAGTCTTTTTTATGGTTTTTCTTTGCCCAAATCGGGTATGGCTCTCAACGCACGTATACGCAAAGCTACGTTTTAAAATATTTCCCAGTGCACCATTCATAAACTCATTCTTTCAGCAATTTTTCGGAGAGGACATCAAAATTTTGATAATTAAATACTGTTAGTATGAATAGTATTTCTGATTAGAAAAAGATAACTAGC